AGACCCTTCCTGTTCCTAATCTCACTACAAATTTGATTTCTGTTGGCCAATTAGTTGATGAAGGTAACATTCTCATCTTTTCTCAAGATGAATGATTGATTCAGGACTGGAACACTGAGAAGGTGAAAGGGAAGGGGCGCAGGTTGGGTCGTCTGTTTCAAACAGCAGCATCATCAGTTTATTTCAATTCCTCCACTTCTAGATCCTTTCTGAGTCATAATGTTTGGGACTTATGGCATAAACTTTTGGATTATATACATGCTGAAACATTAAAATTTTTGTTTGATTCAGGACTTATTAAGAATATAGTTCCTTCCTTGCACACCTTTGATACATCTTGTGTTTCCTATTGCTTAAGTAAGAGTCGTACCTTACCATTTCCTCACATATCTGAACATGTTACCTCTCCCTTCGAGCTTATACAATAGTGATGTCTGGACTGCATCTGTCACTTCTCAACTTGGATACAAATATTTTTTGTCATTCATTGATGATTGTACCAGGTACACATGGATATAGTTTATTCGCCACAAATCTGAAGTATTTCCAACATTTAAGTTGTTTCATGCTATGGTATGGGTTCAATTTCAATCACAAGTGTGTATTCTCCATTCGGATTCAGGGGGAGAATACACTAACAGAGATTTTTTATCCTATTTGAAGAACCATGAAATACAAGTGCAATGAAGTTGTCCAGATACTCCTCAATAGAATGGTGTGGCCAAGCACATGAATGGACATATCCTTACTGTTGTGAGGACATTATTGTAGAAGTCCCATACTCCACCTTCTTTTTGGGTAGAGGCAGCCAGTACAGCTGTGTTTTTTATCAACTATATTCCTTCCTCTGTTCTTGGTAATGTCTCCCTTTTAGAAGTTGTTTAGTCGTTCTCCAGATTTATCTATGCTTCATGTTTTTGGATGTGAGTGCTTTGTTCATCTTCCCTCTCGTGAACATTCTAAATTGTCTACATAGCCTGTCATGTGTGCCCTTTGTGGGTTACAGTCCTGACTACAAAGGATTTCTTTGTTATGATCCCTCTATTTGTCACATTCGTATATCATGTAATGTTGTTTTCCTTTTTCCTTTTTTGCTGGAATTGGTAGACTGTCTGCACCATTTGTTTCTGTTTTGCCAAACTTTGATTCACAAGATGCTCCATCTCCTCTGCTGAGAAGGACCTTCCCGTCTTCTCTCGCAAGCGGTTACGTGCTCCAACCCCTGCGCCTGTGACTCTCCTTCCTCCCAATTCAGATCATCATCTTACCACTACTCTTGTAAGTGATACCTCTACTTCAAACACTCTTCACACTTTTGTTCCTCTTCGTCATTCTACTTGTATATCTAGACCTCTTGACCGCTATGGTTTTCCTTTAAACCATAGCTCTTTGTCTATTGTCCTATCCTCCATAGATGTTCCTCGCTCCTACCAAGAAGCTAATAGTAGCCCTCATTGGAAGGAAGCCATGGATGCAAAGATTCATGCTTTACATGAGAATGACACTTGGGACCTTGTGCCTGCTCTTCCAAATGCAACCATTGTTGGGAGTCGTTGGGTTTACAACGTCAAGTTGAAATCCGATGGATCTCTTGATCGATTCAAGGCACGTTTAGTTGCCTAGGGATATAGTTAGGAGTATGGTATTGACTATGAAGAAACCTTTTCTCCTGTTGCAAAGATCACCACAGTCCATGTTCTTTTAGTAGTGCCTGCCGCTCAATCTTGGACCATATGCCAACTTGATGTGAAGAATACCTTTCTTCATGGTCAGTTGAAGGAAACGGCCTACATGAAACCTCCTCCTAGATATTGTAGTGATTCTTCTTTAGTATGTCACCTCAAAAAATCTCTATATGGTCTAAAACAAGCTCCCCGGGCATGGTTTGAACGCCTTCGCGATGTTGTAGTTGTTGTTGGATATAGCCAAAGTTATTTTGATCACTCTCTCTTTGTTACGCGACGGTCTCAGGGTATTACCACTCTCCTACTATATGTTGATGACATGTTGTTGATTGGGAATGATGTTGAGGGCATTTGTGAATTGAAACTATTACTTCATAATTCCTTTCACAAGAAGGACTTGGGCCCTCTCACCTATTTCCTAGGACTGGAACTATATCGTAGTGATCAAGGGTATTTTGTTTGTCAGCAGAAGTATGCCTCTGACCTTGTTAAACATGTTGGTCTTAATGATGAAAAGCATGTTGATACACCTATGGAGCTAAATCTTAAGCTATCTAAATCTAAAGGTCCATTACTTCCCAATGCTGCCTTGTATGCCCAGCTTGTGAGGTCCCTCATTTATCTCACTATGACTCGGCCTGATATTTTTCATGCTGCTCAGGTTGTTAGTCAATTTGTTTCTGCTCCTCGTCAGCCTCATATGATTGTTGTTCATCCCACCATTCAATATGTTAGAAGCACAACTTCTCAGGGACTGTTCATCGGACCTAGACTCCTCTAGCGTCTCGTGCGACACTTGGGCAGCAGTTGTTGCTCCACAAGTAAGCCTTCCCTACTTAGAGCACTCTCCTGGCTCTTGAGACCAAGTAGCTCACCAACTCGTCCCTCACACTAAGGCACACACTTAGGCAACAAAGGCACAAAGCACACAAGGAAAGACTGATGGAGAACTCAAAGGAACTCTTTGTATTGCTCAAGAGAGGGATACAACACTTGATTGCTTCGTTGAATGCAAATGAGAGAGGGGGTCCCCTTTTATAGGCACTTCCACCTCCTTAAAGGATTTCTCTAGAACTATGCACACTTGGCATCATCTAGAAGCACCTCTAGAACATCCTACCTTCTATACTCTTCTAGGGGATGCCTTCTCCATAAGATACAAGAACACTCTAGAGGAAGTCTAGATTGCTCCCAACCCCTCTAGGTTGTTCCACACAAACCCGGATTGTTCCACAAGGTTCTAGAGAGTTCCACCAACATCTAGACCCTTCTAAACGCATGGAGAACACTCCAAAACACCCTAGAGCGCTCCAGAACACCCCAAAAACATGCAGAATTGGCTAGAAGCCTCAAGAAACATCTAGAAAACCTCTAGCCCAGCAACCCATTGTGTCATCCCGTGACAATATGCTGATGCATATTGGGCTGGTTGTCTAGACACTTGTAAGTCAACTTCTGGGTGGTGTGTTTTTATGGGTAAGAAACAACAGTCTCCAAGCCTTCCACTGAAGCAAAGTGTAGGGCCATATCTTCGATTTGTAGTGAGATTGTTTGGTTACGATCTCTCTTTATGGATTTTGGCATTCAGCTTCCTACTCCTAGTCCTCTCTATGTAGACGATACGAGTGTTATCAAGATTGCATCTAACCCTGTCTTCCATGAGAGGACCAAGCACATTGAGGTGGACTGCCACTTTATCCAAGATCTTTTCACTACTGGATCTATATCGCTTCCTCATGTAGCCTCGGATATGCAGATTACTGATATCTTCACCAAAGCTATGACTAGAGTTCGACACCTCTTTCTTATAGGCAAACTGATGCTTATGTCTAGGCATCAATTTGAGAGGGAGTATGGAGACTCTGTAACTTGATGTATCTTATTAGTATAGCTCCTGTTGTATATTACTTATACATCTTATTCTTCTCTTCTCTTTCAGCCCTATTTGGGCATTCTTGTAATTGTACATATTTTTTAATATATAAGAGACTCTTTGTGGTGGGGGTCGATTATTCTTGACACCTCTAAGATTATTCTTGTTCTTTTCTCTATTCAGCCAATAGTGTTGACAAAACATAGAAGTTCTGCCATTAAATGAAATCAAACATCACTACTACATCTGAATTCTCTCTAGACAACTACTTTCTCCACTAGTTTATTCATTATTCCATTGGTCCACTTATCTTCACCATTTCCTCCAATCTCAACCATTAGAATGACCTCCTAGGATTATTTTGTTAAACTTAACCACCCAAATGGCATACCAAGATATCAGCTACTACTACCATCCCAATGTTGCCTCCACCACTGCCCACGGACCCCCATCTCCACCATTCTCATCAACACCTTCTCCATCATTTCCATTCTCTTAACAATATTAATGTTAAATTGCTCCTACAGAGAAAGAGAATGACATTGTGGAGGTGAATAACAGAATATCAACCTAATAGGATAAATGTTACTGCTGCCCAGTTTGAGTTTGAGCCAATCAATAAAATAAGCTTAAAAACCCCATTTAATTGAGATGCAAAATTTGTCAGAACTTCTCATCCTTTGAATTAAACTAGATCTTAAAAAAGGGTTATAACTTTCAATAAGAATTGGTTTTCAAGAAAAGTGACCCAGTACAGAATACCCATGAGTATACTTTCTTTTACTATATATCAGTATTTCTTATATCGGACGGATTGTGCTTTTTTGACTACATATAAAGACTGAACTTAGGACAAGCTGTATATACAGAGGATTAAGACCCACACTTGGCTGAGACCTTTTTAGTAATACAATCATAATCATCATCAGTGCTGCATATATACCACACATTCAAGTATACAGGACTCACCATTCAAAGAGACTGACCATTCAATGAAAGACCAGTTTAATTTGATTATCATAAGCATCAAAATCTGGAATTTGAAAATTCTGGTACATCCTTGGATGAGCAAGATTAATCCACTACTCTAGAAGACTGATTTAATCGCCTAAGGCTTTAGCAAACTACTCAAGAAATTATCTGTTTTCAAGGGGCTTTAAAACAAGTCTCCCTTGACAAAACTAAATATAAACAAACAAATGCCAAAGTAGAAACTCATTCCTAATTAAGTTTATCTGAATTGCAGTAAATCATAGGAATCATAAGATTTATGAATCAAATTGCAGGATTCAAACAAGAAATATAAGATTTTTGCAAAAAAGGATTTTCAGACATAAGATTCAAATCGTATCATAAATCATAAGATTTTAACAACATTAATGGGAATACATAAGTTTATACCAAAGCTCTCAATTTAACTGATAAATAGCCAAATGGTGTACCTGAAGCAATTTAACAGGACAAGCTTTAATGGCCATGATTCCCCTCAGCATGCTAGTAATCCTCCATGTGTTTGACACCACCCTCAATTGCTCAACTGTCCAAGAGCATACGGAATTTCACTCGCCTTTTAATGCTACCCCATCTGTCATAACCTATACCAATCTTACTATGCATCAACTTCATGGCCAAGTTGGCATTACCTGCTTTTCTCAAGGCATTGATTAGAAGTGTACGAACTCTTCCTGGTATCTCTCTACCTCTATCAACAATTCCATCTGCCAACTTGCAGGCTTGCTCAACACGGCCTGCTTTACATAGCACATTGATCATATCCTCAAAAGCTGTTTCAGGAATAACTCCCATGGGTGCTAGCTCATCCAATATCTTACAAGTCCTGGCAACCTTGCCAGAAAGACAAAGCCCTGTTGAAAGAGCTCTGAAAGAAGCAGGGGTAGGTGTGATACCCTTATCTATCATCATCTCCCACAACTTCAGTGCCTCCTCATTTCTATGTTCTCTGAACAAACCACTGATGAGGATTGTGTATGTATATACTGTCTGATCACAACCTTCATCCTCCATTTTCCTAAAAAGAGCCAATGCTTCATCAATCTTTCCAGATTTGGTGTAGGCATCAATAAGTGCATTATAGCAGTATGAATCCTGTGTGCATCCTTTCTCAACCATCTCTTCAAAAAGCTTCTCTGCTTCATCCACTCTCCCAGCTTTTCCAAGGCCATCAAGAAGACTAGAATAAAGTACAGCATTAACCACCATCCCTTTCTCTCTATAAAAGTTGAAATACTCCATTGCCTTCTCCAACTCCCCGGCCTTGCATAATCCATTAACAATGACTCCATATGTGACCTCATCTGGTTCAAACCCCTCATCCTTCATTCTATCAAAGAGCCTCATCGCCTCGTCCCTGTTCCCACTCTTTGCAAAGGAATCAATTAAAGCAGTATAAATTGCCACATTTGCTTTACAACCCTTCCTAGCCATATTTCCAAAAACAGTATATCCTTCAGCAGGTCTACCATCCTTGCAGAGCCCTCCAATCACTAAACTATAAGCATGAGGAGGGATTTCCAACCCCTTCTCTTCCATTTCATGATATAGACCCAGACATGAATCAAAGTCCCCCTCTGAATAGCACGACTGGATCAAAGTTAGATAAGTAATCTTATCAGGGTCAATATTTTTCACCTCCATCTCTCTGAATTTTTCCATTGCTTTACGAGTTTTCCCTGTCCTATAATACCCTTTAATCATTGTATTATAGGTCACTACATCAGGCCGAATTTTTCCAGCTTCCATAGACTCGAAAACCCTCTCTGCAGATTCAACAAACATCGAATTCACCAATCCATCCATCAAAAAGTTATATGTAAACAAGGTCGGCTCAATTCCATTCTCTTTCATTCGACGCCAAGCCCACAATAGTTCCTCAACCATTCCCAAAACTCCGAAGCTTTTGATAAGAGAATGCGATGCGGACGCGCTCATTACGAATTCCCTGTCCCTCATTTCGGCGAATAAATACCGAATCTTCTCGGAATCGCCCAATGAAGATAAAGCATCAATCAGCGAAACGAACGATTCGAGTTTATGCGAGTAATTCTTCTGCTTACCAGCCCAATGAAAGAATCGAAAAGCAAGGTCAGGCTTTTCCCTAAGCTCAGTATACCTTAAGACATAAGCTACAAAGTTGGGCGATAACTTGATTAAAAACTTCCGGCAATAATCATCCAAATTGGACTCCATGCTCGAAGAACCGTCGAGTAAAGAAACAATACGATTGATCCAAGGCGAAGGTTCCATATTCTTAATGTTTACGACGAGATCAGAAACATCAATCAAGGGTTCTATCCATTCACGAGGCGGAAGGGAGGTAGAAACGCACCTCGAATTATGGAAGTAACACGAAATTGAACCGCGCTGCGACGATTCTGGTAGTACGAGCAGAAGCCTATGAGATCTGCCATTGTTGTGAAGAGTGGTAGGCCGAGTGTTGTTAAGCAAGACGGAGAGCTCATGGAGGCCTAGCTTCTCTGCAAAATGAGAGTTCGGAGGAGAAAGAGAGACAAATCTGACGAGGGTTTTTCTCATCAGTCCACCGCATGTTTCTTCTCTCGCAATGTTTTAGACTTATAGTGCACAAACGATATAAAGTTTCGGTTTGGGGTGATCATTGTACGGTCCAGACCGTCAACCGAATCGGACCAAACCGATCAGAAAATATCTTATAACATAACATATAATAAAATAAAGGGAAAATTGCATTAGTACCATCTACTTTGGCTCTAGTATGATTTTGGTTCCCAACTTTAAAACATGCCAATTTAATATCTAAACTTTCAAAATATGTCAATTTAAATCTATCATTAACTAGCCATTAAGTGACTCAATGACAGCTGAACGTCTTGTGCTAGTGGCTCAATGACAATGGGCTGTGATTTAAGGACCCACTTGGGAGGGTTTCTACGTTGATTGAGCTGCTTGTGTTAAATAAGAAAATGAAATAGGAATAGAAGAAGTAGGGTTTCAAGAGAAATGGAATGGGATGAGAAGGTTTGGGTCTATTACAGATATTTTAAAAAAAAAAATAAACAAATTTTTGTTTTTAATTTTGGGAGTTGGAGTAACATTAGAGAGTGATCCTTAAAATTTCAGATCAAGTTTTGAAGGGGTCAAGGATCCACCATTTTACTACATTTTTAAACCCGCCTCAACTTACTAGTTATATAATTAAATGATGATTTTAACAAAAAGTTTGAGAGGGCCAAGGACCCCCACCGATATACTTGGCTCCGCCCCTTCTTCACGTGTTTCAGTTTCTCAGAAGCTGCTGCATAAAAGTCGCTCTCAAATGGACACTAAATAAATGGTGCCTCAAACCAGGAAAAAATTTTCATCGGAGGGTTGATGCCAGAGGGAATTATTTTGAAAAATATTATGTTTTGTAGTAATTATTTTCAACATGTTAATTTTATTTGAATATAGACTGTGTAATAGAGCAGCCCATCTTATTGCTTAGAAAGTTAAAAGGTTTATTTGCTAATTAGGAGGTTATGTGGTTTAGTGAACCTCCTTTTGTTTGAAGGTTCTTAATTATCAGTGAGTATAATTCTGTTTTCTTTTCGTTGTAAGAGGTTTGTTTAACCATAAAAAAAAAAATAAAAAAAAAAAAGATGGGATTCCTGTGAGGGATTAGGACCTTTACCAAATACTAATTGTCAATAGTTGCAAATAATCTAATCGAAGTTCTATATGATTTTTGAAGTAATAGTTTTGGTTTATATAGACAAACAAAATATAACATTAACCATCCCCAAAAGACAAAAATTACGTAGGGACGAGATAGTCGTTTCTTATTGAGTTTAAAATGACCAAAAATTTTATTTTTTTTTTAATTTAATTATCATTAACTTATATATAAAATAATTGTATATAAATATAAATATATTAAATTTATCAAGTATAAATTTATATAATTATACGTAATTATACAACATATATATTCTTCCGAGAAAGTAGAACACAATCCACTGTTAGAGAAAACCAAGTAGTCCCCCTATTTACTAAAAGAAAATCTTTCTTTTATTGTTCCAATTCCTTATTATTATTTTTTTCACGCACGGTGTTAGGTTTTGATACCTCTAAGTAATTAGTAAGTCTAGTATGCCGGTCAAGACATTGGTGTAGAAATTATTGGGTATATAAGACAGCACAGCATCTCAATGTCAATGTCTCTTTCTAATTAAACTTTTTTTTTTTTCTGTTGAATTGTTGATTATCTGATCTCCAACCCAGGTTTAATACAGATTACAGAAGAGAGAGTTACCGTGACAGTTACCTATCGGCTCTCATGTCCCACGACTCCCACCACGTGTTCGTCGGTGGTGGGTGGTCCCACCCCTGTTTTTGTTCTTATCGGGAGGGGGCCGGCCGGATTCCGTCGGAGATTCCCCTCAAATTTCTGCTCATTCTCTTTTGGGAATTGTGACCATGCTTTGAAAATTAAAACGATCGATCGTTGCTCATGTAAATATGAATACTTCGAAATATTAGGTGTAGCGCGATCTGACTACTCCTTACTGGAGGATGATCTGGCTTTCAGTCGGACGACGAGTTAGGTAAATTTGTAAGACAAGATCAGAGAACCCGAGGTGATTAACCTGGTGAGGTCGCTTCGATGCTTAAGTTAGTAATCTGATGCAAGCTGAAGAGCTTTGAGAGCTTAAAGAGATAGAGAGCTAGAGAGCTAGAGAGCTAGAGAGCAGAAAAATCACGCGTTGAGTCCTTGCGGGTTTTGCAGATCGGTTCCGGGATCTTTGTCACGATGGGATCCGTTTCCGCTTTAATTGGGGGATAACATTATCAACTAATAAAGCTTATCAATTCCGCCCGAACCGGGCGGGAAGAAGATAAGGCTTGCCATTACGTAGCGTGATCCCATGAGGTTTGGGGCCTGTTGGAGGGATTTTCGGAATCGTCACGTAGTGGTCCGGGTCGATATCCCCGAGTTGATACTTTTTAGTTCCGAATTGGATTGAATGCCAAAGTGCCTTGGGGCCGAGGTGACCTTGTCCCAAGGTGACCCTGTGCCGAGGTGGTTGAATGTCCGAGCTCAACTATTGCGAACTAGGCATGTCAGGCTGAGTTGCCATCTCTTAGTCAGGTCACGTCCATGTGTCCCCTTTTTACTAGGTCGGGCCAAATCACCCTTCATCAATTGCCCTCCACTCCCTGAACCAGGGGTTTCGACTCGGTGCGGAGAGTACATGACGAGTCTAGGTGGATTTGGCACGAGGTCTAGGCGGTTTGCCGGGCGAATCATTTGGTCGGACCTGTTCGGACTTCTGGCTCAACTAGTATTAACCCAGGTCACGTCAGGTGGACTCCGTGGATGTCAAAAATGCACTCAACTAATTTTGTCATCGGGCGTCGTGCAATCGGTTTTCATGAGATTCGTTGGATCGAACATGTCTCATCCATTGATCACCTCGCGGTGAACTATAAATAGGGGGCTGAGGGGCCCCTCTTCTTCGCCAAAAATCTTGTGATTGAGCTCTCCCGAGGTCGCGTCGGAGTCCTTCAGCTCGCTACTTCCTCCTTTGTATTCCGAGGTCATTTTCTTTTTGGTGAGTTCGTCTTTTCTTAGTTTGTTCTCCTTTCTTGTTCCTGTTTCAACATGTCTAGTACTAGCATAGATAGGCTCCTTGGTGACTCTAGTGGGCTCGAGGGTGTCAAGGTGCAGTCCTTGGCTCCCGCTGGCGAGGCCAGTTCCTCGCTAGGTAGTTCCTTCCTTCGCCCCTTAGAGGAAACCTCTTTACCTGAAGTTGGGCCATCTCGGCTTGAGGAGCCCATAGCTCGGGAGGAGGGACCGACCTCCAGAGAGGAGGTCCCATCTTCTTCTCGGGGTCGGGATCTGGATGACTTCGGGCCTTCTACTATGACCTCGGACACGCTACTGTCCTTGTTAGCTCGTTATCGTCTTCCTAATAACCTAGTTTTTAGTATTCCTTTAGGTCAGTACCCTTGGATTCATGGTCACCATGAGCTCGCGGTTTTCGAAGAGCAGCTCGTGGTTGGGCTGCGCTTCCCGCTCCACCTATTCATTATAGAAATAATCAAGTTTTTTGACATCACCATCGACCAACTACACCCGAACTCCATCCGAACTATAATAGGTACCATCTCCCTGTTCCATGAGTACAACCGACCTCTGTCCTTAGACGTTTTTAGTTTGAGCTGCTCAATCAAAAGGAACTCTGCTTGTCTGCATGGGGACGTCCGACAAAGTTACTACAACTCTCCTCGGCCCGGCTTCAAAATCTTGTTCGGCAACCCGAACCAAGTACCGACCTGGAAGAGAAGATACTTTTTTGTTCGAAACCCTGAGGGATGGCCCTTCCCAACTCACTGGAGGGTGACTATCAAAGACCCCGGGATAAGGTTAGATGCAGAGACTAGGGCGGTCGTTAACTCCTAGAGGGACCTCGGCCTGGAGATGAGAGATTTCTTGGCTGAGGAGAAGCTTGTGCGAGCTGGGCTGAGCCCTCCTGGTAGGCCTCCACCTCGGTACTTATTTACTTTGAATTTTCTTTAGTTCGTGACTAACCTTTTCTTTTCCTCTCACAATAGTCATCAGAGGTCGATGCAAAGAACCTTCTGAAGAGCTTCCAAAGAGGGAAGAAGAGGAAGGCCTCAAAGAAGGCTCGCCGGGAGGCCGGTCCTTCTGCCCCCGTTCCACCCGAGGTCGCTGCGCCGGAGCCAATCTCTGTCGAGCTTCCGGAGGAGGAGGTCCATCCCCAGACTCCCATTGTGGACCTGGACGAAGACTAGGACGAAGGCGCTTTGCCTTGCGAACTGGAGAGCACTTCTGCGCCCGAGCCTCAGCCCCCGAAGGAGAGTATAATGTGAAAGAATGGTAGGATCCATCATATGGACGCCAAAAAGGTTGCGGAATGGGTGGGCGAATTTCAAAAATTTCCTACCTTTCTTCCAACTGGGAATCGTATTCCTTGTTTAGAATCAAAATTCAAGGATCCCACTTGAACCAAACCAAACCAGATCTGAACCAAAGATCAGGGGAAGGGTTATACCTGATACGGAGAATCAAAATCTCCCAACGTCGGTGTTCACGCCCAAAGAAGGATCCAAGATCTGCTCCCGTTGAAGATGACACAATGATTGTGGGGCAGAACCAAAAGTGTACGTCTCATGTACCGAACTCTTCACAAGAACTCGTTGGAGGCTTAGAGCACCGAACCGAATCAACCTTTCAACAAAGACTGATATCAAGAACAGATTTATTGATTCTCCCTTCAATGGAGTTCGAACTATGCAGCATGGTGGCGGCGGCTAGAGGAGATCCCTAAGGCTGAAAGTGGCATGAATGCAGTTTTCAACTTAGGGGAGATGAGATCCTATCTCAGATTGCAAAGAGAGATTTCTGCCAAACCCTAGGTCGAATTCATGTAATTCTCTGTTAGGGTTTCCTCCTTTCTTGGTGATTAAGAAATCTCCTAATCCTATTGGGAGTTATCCCAATCCAAATATGTATTTGGATAGGGGATAATCTTGATCCTATCTACAGATTAGAACAACCCATTCCTGATTTCAT